AGACTTGTTTTTGGAAACATGAAAAAAAACAAAAAAACATTTGAGGACACTCTTGCATGTATAATATATAAAGCAAGTAGAACTGATAATCTATTCCAGAGGCATTATATACAACATTTGTGGGAACTATAACAAGATCAGAGAATGTATATTAAACCCTCTAATGTCATTTCCTTTTTCAATGTACAGTCACAAGCTGTATTTAATTGTTGCTGTGTACATTTGCACATGAAAGGCAGGGGGGCGGGGGGATCTGTATATGATTAAATCCTCTTTATGGCTCTTGTTTTTAGTCTTATGTGGTTTTAACTGTTTTTAAAAGAGCATGATGAACACCAGCAGAAACAACAAGACTTTCTGCTTTAAACATTTGTTTTACAGCCTTGGCATGGATGGATGGATGATGGATGGATGGATAGATGATGGATAGATAGATAGATAGTGCTTCACAAATAATAAGATACATAAAAACACAATCCTTGAAGAATAAAAACACTTACAAAACAAAATAATAATAAACATTGTCTTATTAACACATATATAATGATGGATTAAGAAAGAAAACAAATTATTAAAACGTAAATTGAAAGAGAAACTCTCATAGATGCTCGTGCGCTCCAGCAGAGTCATGGGTGCGCTTGTTTTTGGATTCAGTGCGTCTGCGTGGGCGGAAGAAACTGAATGCCACGTTCGTGCCTATGCGCCGCTCTCCCGCACGGTCCTGAACTGAAGGATGAAGCGCGGAGCTCCGCCGTGTGTTGTTGTTGACATGTGAGCCGTTAGCTGTTAGCCACATTTCAATGCACCGTGCCGCGGTGAGCTGTGGCAGCAACATGTGAGCGAGCGTCCACCTCCACACACGGTATCTGAGCTCAGTGACGGTCACTGGTGGCTCTCTGTTCCCCGGCGAGGACAGCTACGCTAGGCTAAGCTAGGCTAACACGACAGCATCCTGGTTCTGAACCAGCTAACATTAGGCACCGCTCCGCTCTGCTGGGTGTAGCTAAAGTTTAGCCTCCTACAGATGGCTCACTCCGCCGACATGCCGCTGCCAGCGGACTGGGACGACGACGAGCGGATGAACTTCATGTTCTCCGACTTCAAGGAGAACCGGGACGTGGACACGACGGACTGGGACAGTAAGACGGACTTCTGGACGGCTCTGATCCTGAGCAGCTGCAGGCACCAAGGCTCCGTGTGTGTCCGCCTGCAGGAGCTGAACCACAGCTTCAGGAGGAAGGAGAAGTCCCCGCTGGGCTTAGCCACGGTGCTCCAGTCCATGTCCAGGTATCTACAGCTCCTTCCTCCACATGCATCGGCCTCCGCCCGGTGGTTTGTCACACTGTCTGCATGTTGTCTCCCGTCAGGTCTGGGAAGATCCAGAGGGAGTCGGAGTTCGCAGCTAACGTGGACTGTGGCTGGGTGTCCTGGGGGGTGGGCCTGCTGCTGGTGAAGCCCCTGAAGTGGACCTTCTCCACCCTGCTGGGCAGCAGCAGCCGGGTCCCTCTGGAGGAGTCGTTTGTTGTCATGGAACTGGTGAAGGTTTGTCAAACCCAGTGTCTGTAAACAATGGGATCCAGGTGCATCAACATAAAACAAAGTGTCATTTAAACTCGAGCACCATGATATTGCTCTCTGTTATTGCAGTAAGCTACTAGACATTGCATGTATCTGGTTGTTCCTTATATTATTGTCTGCTAAGATTTATATTGCAGCAGCATAGTACACTAAGTTAAATTCATGTGCATCTAAACAAAAATGTGAGCACGATATATGCAAACTGCTGTGGAAAACTATAATAATAATGATATATTTATCATTTAGTGCTTTTATCAATATTCTAGAACACTTTACATTGGTTAAAACAGATAAGAGCAAACAAATACATCCTGTTCAATGAATTAATAATTAAAATTAACCTTTATGATTAGTATGACAAAATAACTTTAGGGAAATTGAATTCATTGCCTATCTCTTTGTTAAATTAAATTTCTTATTATGTTTTTTTTTATTATATGTTGTGTATTATTTTGATAATGTTTTAATAAACATTTATTTTATTATTCAGTCATACTGCTGTTTTTTCTTACGTGCCTAAAGTTTGTATTTTTATCCATGTTTGTCAGCTGTTTCAGTATTCAAGTATTTAAATAATAAAACAATTATATTACACATCATTGATCACACAGCAATGCAGCAGATGGCAGCTGCTATAATATTCTAATCGATGTTGTGTTTCTCAGGAGAAAGCTGCAAAACTTCTCAGGGTCTACAGGAGCAGTGAGTTTGCAAGCCGCTCCGTCCTGTCCTTTCAAGAGCTCTGTACTCTCTCCTCTGGAGTCTGTGCGGACGAGAGCACCCTGTGCATGGCTCTCCTGCAGCTGCAGAGGGACAAACAAGTGCTGGTCTCACTGCACGAAGGCGAGAAGGTGTGACGTGTAACCATGTCAGTCCACAAACTGTTCGTTTGTAGTATTTAGAAGCATTTGGTTAATAATCTCCCTCTTTCTTTGTGTTTTCTCCACAGGTTGTAAAGTTTTGTCTGCCAGGGCAGGACCGCGTCTCTCCAGTCAGTGATGTGGATATCGGAATCTACCAGCTGCAGCACAGTGAGAAGCTGCTGGGGGAGCGGGTAGAGAAACTGGGCCTGGAGGCTGACAAGTAAGTCATCAACCTGGATATGAACTTCAAATAGAATGTTTAGTTGTAAACTGGTAAGGATTTGACACCAAGGCTTAAGCCTTAAGATAGTGTCTCATATATTCAGAGTTGAATTGCTCTTTTGCTGAAATAACCTGTGCCTTTTGTGCAACTGGATTCCTGAGTCATCCATTTCCAGGCATTGGAGTTTGAGTCAGGCAAGATGGATTTCACTGCATTCAGACATTAAGACTAGTTGCTTTCCATTATCTATGTGTAGGTGCAGAGAGGAGGCAAAGCTTCTGCTGTCGGAAGGGAAAAAATCACAGGTTTCTACCAATTTAACCTACATAAAACATTTTTTTACCAAGTATCCGATCGCAGTCAGTATAGTTTGTTGTATTCATCATCCATTCCACAGGCCCTGAGGTGTTTGAGAGGCCGCAAGAGGGTGGAGAAGAGAGCAGACAGCTTATTTGCCAAACTGGAGACAATTAGAGGAATCCTGGACAGAATTGCACAATCACAGACTGATAAGATGGTAATAGAGCTCCCCTCATCAAGACTTTTTCTGTAAAGGTTATTGTCAGTACTTACAGTGTGTGCTGAACATGTCTGTAGGTTATTCAAGCATATCAGGCTGGAGTGTCTGCCCTCAGACTCTCTCTTAAGGACGTGACTGTGGAACGTGCAGAGAACCTTGTGGATCAAATCCAGGAGGTATTGGTTGATTTTAAGACAATTGCTACTGTATTTTATCATTTTGATTGAATTTTTCTCTTAAGCATCTTAATTGATCTTTTCTATCATCTCACCAGTTATGTGACACCCAAGATGAGGTGAATCAAACTATATCCAGTGGTGTGACCAGCGCAGGTATGCCAGTGTGTTACTGCCATATGTTTTATGCAGTGGATTGTTTAAATGGATATCACTGAGACCAAAATTTGTCATGTTCTTTTGTAGATGAAGACATAGATGAGTTGGAGGAAGAACTGAAGTCTTTGCTGGAAGAGTCAAAGCCAGTTTCAATCTCAGATTTACCTGAAGTTCCAACAAACCGCCTGCGACCCTCCGGGGATACAGTCCTCTCTGGTAACAGCCTGCTCAGTTCCCTCCCTGCCGTACCTCACGGGCTCTTGAATATTACCACTGAGCAGCTGGAGGAAGAGTTGAATCAGTTAACACTTACAGATTCAGGTTTGCACTTTTAGATTTCTCCTTTTTTTTCTATAAATTTTGATATAAATGTTTTTAAGTAACACATTGTCACCTCTCTGTCCAGGCTTTCAGCTGGAGAAAATGGCATCGCCTGCCAAGAGATTAGAGCCTGCACAGTGATGGCATCGCAACTCTCTGCAGTAACACATCAACCTAATCTGTAGCTCATAAAAGTCTTCTGTGAGCCACAATTCATAGACGTTTTAAACAAAAGCACTTAAGTGCAACATAAGCAATTTGTTCAATCATAGTTTGATCTGAATGTTGGAAAATAAATGTCATAATTTAAACAAGAGACTTTCCTTCATGTCATGACAATTAAGAAATGCACTTATTGTGGTCACGTGCCAAAAATAACTTCAGTAATAACATTTTCTTTCATGAAGCAACTTTAAAGAAAATTTAACGAGACAGCTCTCAGATCTGCTCCAATATCAATATCTGGAGGTTCTAGTATCAAAGCAAAAGATTTTAACATTTTTAAATATTCTTCACTATGACATCACCATCAGGAATGCATTGTGGTATTTTTGACAATAATAAGAGGACAACAGTGTTTCTGGTTTAATGTGTCTGTTGATTGTAAATGTCCCTCATTGACAGTCCTGTAAAGTGTATTAAGTGGCCTTCCGAAGTGTAAATATGAACTCTTAAAGTTAACAGAATATTCTGCCAAATGATGTATAATTGACCCCACTGCAACACAACATACTGTATTTTTGTGAACTGAGACGTCTCCTTTAAGTGAGTCAACCAAATATGTTTGTCAGAATAAAGTTTATTTTAAGCATTTGTCTGTTTTTGTATTTTTCATGAGCAGATGTTTGGCAGAGGAGGAGCTACACTCCACATAAATCATAACTTTGGTTGTTCCGGGGGTGCAACCACACCTCAAAGTTAGGAACAAATAAGTCAGATTTACCAGCAGCAGCATATTTTTAAAACAGAACATATTTTTAGTTTATAATTATTTATTAAGGTAGGATACAATGAGCATGTCTGTTGTCAAAACGACTATTATCTGAGTATTTACAGTATTTTGGCCAACAGGGGTCACTACAATTCAGATGTTTATGAGTGAAACAAAATGAACTCTAATTACTTAACTGATAGTTTCACACCCAACCTCTTTTTTTTAAATCTATGAAATGTAAAAAAAAAAAAAACAATAATACTAATATTTACTATTGATACATTCTTTCTTATGTTTATTGCTAATAAACTGGATTCACATGTAGTAAAGCAAGACAGCTCTGCTACTGAATTGTCAGGCCTCGTGCACAATATCTTTGACCTTATCAAAAATGAATGTTATTGGAAATTTGACATGAAAAGATTTGTAGCAGTGGCAGAACAGGTTGGAATAGAGACCAGGTTTCTGTTAAAGGTAATAACTATGCTGGAGGGTTGAAAAGCAGAAAACATTCAATTCATTATTAAAGACTAAATAATAAATCAAAGGTGAGACTTTCTGATTTATTTCTGCCTGCCAAATCCTCACCAGAGATACTACTATTTTATGATTTACCAAGTGACCATATCAAATGTCGTTTAGCTTTCAGCAACCTTAGTGTTTATTCAGAAATTATTTGTATTTATTTACATGAAGACTGTGTTTAGAGTTTAGAGTCTTAAGAGTAATCAGCAGATTAATCCTGGTTCTGTCAGCTCACAGGGGAGGCCTTCGCGTGTTTCTTCATAGTTTATTCAGGAGGCCAACATTCTCCAAACATTTTGGAGCATTTAAGCCATTTCTTTTCAGTTAAGGGGAATAAATCTACACATTTAACGATATATCACACAAAAAACTGCATAGTGTTTGTATAGATACTGGTGATATGTCTTGTTTTCCATGCATCTCTATCGATCAGCTTTTACTGTTTGAGTGACATCGAGTGGCCAACTGGTTGAACTACACACACAGTTGTAAAAACAGCTGGAATTCACGAGTCTTTTTAGTGACAAACTAAAAAGACAACTAAAAAGGGGGGGGGGATGTGATTTTGATAAGTATCAAAATCACATGTTACAATCACCAGATCACAACCAGTCAACACCTACAGGTGACTCTGGACAGGCACTTGTGTCAACCAACATCAAACACTAAATGAGGAAATACGATTTTGTACATCTCTTCATTAGACTCAAGAGTCGTCTAGTTGACTTGTTGTAATGGCCCCAAACTTTAAGAAGTCCATGTTGTCTTCTCCTTAATATCTTTATCACCGTTATACACAGAAACCAAGTAACCAAACCAAAAAAGCGCTGCTTTATTGTATTGATTCATATACGTCAAGGACAAGTGGTGTTAATGTGAAAAGCAGATTATTGAGTGATTATAATTACCATCGATTTGGTGGTGCAGCAACTACTGAGGTGCTTTTGGGTTCTCTATTAAACAATAGATTTAAAAAAAAGAATTCATTACAAATGTACAGCCTTTATAAAGTACAGATTATTATCAATAATAATAATATCACAAACTCCTACTACAGCAGTGTTTTCAAAATTGCCCTTTTATCACAAATAACATCAATGGATATTGTTTAAGCCCAACTTAATTCTCACAATGGCCTTCATTGTCTCTCTGTGAAACACACACACACCCTCACTCTCTCTCAATGTCACACACACACACACACACACACACACACACACACACACACACAAAAACAGACTCCCTGTTCATCTCATTTCATGCTGCATCCAAACATGTTGCTGCTGTTTTTCGCCAGTCAACAAATGCAGGGTGAAATTTCAGCTCCCTCACCTTGACAACCAGCAGATTTCAATTGCACATTATGCAGCTCGTACTTACAGTAACATTATTATACTGATATCACAAGAAGAGGAAAGATGTTTTGGAAGCATTTACGTTTCATCATTTTAATTCTATTCCTACGCAGCTGCAGACATCTTGTTATATAGTTTGTTGATGCGCCCAGACGGTTTCTGAGAAGAAGGAGAGGACAGAGATATGCTATAGCCATGACTACACTATGCAGCTTGTGTATGAACCGGTCAAGCAGGCACTGATGCAGATATTTGGCCGAGAGTTGGTTGTATGCGCCACGTGAAGTGAAAGCAAAAAAGAAAAACCTGTGTGTAATACAAGATGTAAATGGGTTGTATTAAGAAACATTTGGCATGCTTTATAGTAGTTTTTTTCTACTATATATTAAGAAAAACTCTTTATGGAATACCATAAACAAAATCATAATTTTTTTTACATTGCAATGTTGTGTAAAAAGCAGGCTACACAGTGGGTCAGACTCATTCCTGCTATTGCAGTGTAGTGCATGTACAGTAGATGTGTGTATGTTAATGTGCATTTTAGCGTTGCAGTTTTAAACTGTCCTGTCGGCTCCTGAGCGCTTCCGCACAACCTTCTCCTCATTGACCTGGTCCACGGCCAGTGTCTCCAGCTCTGCTTGGGGTGGGGCCAGGGGAGGGTTGCCAAGTGGGATGCGGTGCGCCACGCCCACGTGAGCCCTGTACTGGCGGTCTCGAGCGGGGCTGTGACGAGGGCTGGCCATGGCACCCAGGGGAGGGACGGGGGAGCGCTCAGATGCAATGGGAGGGATGACAGCAGGCCGTTCACGCACAACCTGATGTTCTGGAGACTCTCTGCCAGCCTGAAGGAAGGGTGTGGGGTCAGGCATGGCGTCAACCGTCTCCCGCAAAATTAGCCGCCTCCCATCCTGGCCGAGCTTGTACACCTCTGTCAACTCGGGGTGAAGAGGCTGCGAGAGGCTCTTCTTCATACGGCGTCGTGGGGTTTCAGGCTGTCTGTCCTTGGCTTGAGGTGGCGTGGGCTTGTATGATGTGACTGGACTGACATTGGGACTGGCCTCTGAGGAGCAGCCAGCCAACAGCTTCTTCTTAGTGGCATGAAGTTGTGAGGTGAGGTAAGCGATGGTGCTCGCTCTCTGCTCGAGCTCCCCGGACAAGATGGCCAGCTTGTGGCTCTTCATCTTAAGCTCCTCCAAATACTTTTTCTCCCTCTCCTTGATGGTGTTTTCCAGGACAGAGATCATGGCGTTCTTCTGCTCCAGATCCCTGAGCAGCTCTGTGTTCTCCTCCTCCTTCTTCTTCAGCTCAGCCTCGAGCTCCTCACACCTCCATTGCAGCTCCTTGCAGCGGACTTCACTGTTGTCTGCACACACAGGAAAGGGCAATCAAAGAGCAGCTCTTACGTGTATGTACAGATGAATACTTGGAGTAAACACATAAATGAGTGCACATCACAAATACACACCTAGAGACACACACCCTCCTCAGACTGAGCTAACCACAGGTGCATTAAGTGCAGACACTGAGAATGTCAGCTGACTCACAGTAAGATCCTATGGAGACTCATCTGCAGTGGACAGAGAACTCCAGTCTCACATTACAGCTCTATAGACACAATGGCACTGCTCTGCTCTGACCTTCATTACTGCTGCCCCCGCCCTGCCCCGCCCTGCTACAGCCATCTTTGCATATATGCAAAAATAAAATTATATATATATATATCACAGTTTCTGATGTCTGGTTTATATTTCATGAACTTCTTTCAAGCAGAAGGGGGTTGCTTTACTCTGATTATTGTTTTCCCCTAATTTTTGAAAAGGGAGCTGTTAAATTCTACCCCAGCTGGAGCAGCTGAGCCCTGCTGCACTAAGTAGGTTGCAGCCTGTGCATTAGCGCAGTGACAGATAATCTCATTTCCTGCACTCCAATCTCTGAGATGCGCCACACTAACATGATAGTGCCTCTAACTACAGGCCCTGGCAGCATCACTCAGATCTGGGCCACGTTAGAATGCTCATAACATGCTGTGACTCCGGTTGAGATGCAACATGCTTCCTCTTCACGTACACACATCAGCCTGCACATATAGTGAACTCCACGCAGCCTATTAGGGGGGGCTCTCTGACTGTACTCCACTGTGCTGTGCAGTACATCAAGCCAGCAAGGAGACAGTGGAGCCGGGTCTGAATCAGATCAGTGTTGTGACTCCATGTCATAGCCATGGTAACAAAGGGGGAGGGGCAGTTGGCAATGAGTAGTGGGAGCACTACTGAACAGAGGGGGGAGTCCCACAATGCACTGGTTCCTGGGTGGGACTTTGTTACCAGGAAACACACTGAGCCCTCTGCTCTCGGGCCAGTCCACTGACACAGAGCTTTGTTTCTACACCCCACTTCTACACCCAGATTTATAAGTCGGAATGTTGTAGAGTTTGTCTGCTGCTGCTGTGCACTTCCACAGCATGAAGCACTTCCACTTGTGTAAAAGTAAAACTGATCTAGCAGATTATTGTTGCTAACGGCACAAGAAATCAAATGGTCACTGGTAAAAATGAATGAGCTTGTGTGCTTCACAGAATGATGTTTGCTTACCTGAGGGATCAGAGCTTCTCACAGTCAGCTCATATGTCAGGTCTGTGAAAAAAAGAAAACAAGAGCGTTACTCACATGTCCATGTCGTGTGAGGTTGCAACAGGGCAGCTAACCAACCGCATGTTTCTAAGACAGCCTAACTAACGGTGATGCATGTTTGGAGATAACATGTCAGTGATTTCCATATGGTGGAGTGTTAACAGGATTAGTGACAGGTTAGCCAAGGATACAGAAAAGCAGGACTAATGCATACAGCGTCCTTTTTTTCTTTAAACTGGGTGACCATCATGCCTTCATTAGGGGAAGAGTATATATATATATATATAAATATATTACCGGTGGTGCAATCGATGCATATTTTTCCATGTTGCATCACTAAAGCACAGGGTGTGTTCGCTAAGGCTTGAGTGCATTTCCCATAAGTCCTTTTCCTCTCTCTAAAAGATTTAATAGTGGCACCACAACACACCAGCTTGATATTTGGTACCAAATACCAGGGCCATTAATGGCATTTATTGTTTCCCCTGTTGTTTTCAGAGATCTCATGCATCATTCTTAAATGTGCTGGTTTTTCCTCAGCAGCATGAAGAGAAGAATTGCAGGAATATGTGACGGCGCTCACCTGTGCACTGCTCTTGCAATCTGCGGATCTCTGCGTGTAGCCCCTTCAACGTGTTGGCATGGTCCTGCTGGAGGAACAGCAGGTTCTTCTGTGCACTGTGTAGCTGATTTTCCAGGGTAACATTTGCCGATGCCATGGCTGGTAACGTTCAGACACACACCAGGCTCGCAACCTCCAGAAAGAGATGTACAGAAAACAACAGAGACAGAGAAAGGAGAGAGAGAGAGAGAGAGAGAGAGAGAGAGAGAGAGAGAGAGAGAGAGAGAGAG